GTCTGTAGTAAAGAGGTGCCCATCCACCAGTTGTATGAGATGCAGGCTTCTGCTTGAGGAGAAACAGTTAGCCAGAATTCAGGTGACTGGGCTATTGACCACTAGACTCCTGATCTTCCTTAGCCAACTAGACCAATCCTCAAATGTGCTCCCATTTATCACCGCTTTGTTCTTGCTACTCCCTCTACCTAAAATATGCTAGCCTTTTCATTTCATCCACCCCACTGAAATTCCGCCCAACTTCCATGATCCCTCTAGAAACTTAAGCATCCTCTTTTGGCACTTAATTTATTTTAAAAGAAAGGAAAGATAATACATTTTTCTCTTGTTGTTGTTGTTGTTGTGAGGTGCCATCGAGTTGGTTCGGACTCAGAGCGACCTTATGTACCACAGAACGAAACACCCCCTGGACCTGCACCATCCCCACAATCGTTGCTATGCATGAGTCCATTGTTGCAGCCACTGTATCAATCCTCATCTCTTTGAGGGTCTTTATCTCTTTCGCTGACCCTCGACTTAAAAACAAACAAACGAAAACCAAACCTGTTGTCATCAAGTCAATTCTGCGTCATAGTGACCCTATAGGACAGAGTAGAACTGCCCCACAGTGTTTCCAAGGAGCACCTGGTGGATTTGAACTGCTAGCCTTTCGATTAGCATCCAAGCTCTTAACCACTGCACCACCGGCACTCCAACCCTCTACCTTACACACATTATTTTATTTGTCTCTTCTTCCAAGCCCTATTCAGTAGTTGATCTTATCCCCATTTCATAGATGAGTTCACAGACTCAGTTTAAGTAACCCACTCAAAGTCCGGCAGCTAGTAGATTGCAGAATCAGGATAGGAGTTCTGGTTTATCCGAGTACAAGACCCATCTTCTTATTAAAATTGAGAAAGAATTGCCTTGCATGTTGTTTATCCCAACATTAAACTATAAACCTCCTGAGTTTAAGTATCACTTCTTCTCATCTTGCCACCGGAATCTAGGACAGTACTTGCTTATCTGACAATCAAGTCATGAAACACTCAATTGACTTAAGTAGTAGTGTTTGTATGAAAGTGGGTAACACTATATTATATTTTTTAATATGTTTACCATCGACAAATCTAGACTTTCATGTAAAGGAAATATTTTCAAGAAAAGAACTACTCACCCTTTATTAAGGTTATTCATTTGGTCTGAACATGAACTTCAGTTAGGAACTATGGATTGGGAATATCTTATCCTCTACTATAATGGAGCTTTCAGGTGGCATAAAGTAAAGTTGGATAACAAATTTCAGGAAGTGATACAAGCAGTGGCCTTGCAGACAGAAGATCCTCCTCCTGGTTCTGCAGTAACTCATTATGTGACCTTGAGCAAGTCATTGGACCTTCTGGGCCATGGTATCCTTACTTGTAAAATAAAGGTGTGGACCAGGTTACCTTTATGGCTTCCCTCCCATGATATGTGTTGCTAAGTAATGTATTACTGTAACATTCTGTACTGCTCTAATGACACACTGGTGGCTTCTCTTATTTGCAGACTGCAGTGAGAACCTGTTTCACTGTCACACAGGCAAGTGCCTTAATTATAGCCTTGTATGTGATGGCTATGATGACTGTGGGGACTTGAGTGATGAGCAAAACTGCGGTAAGTAGAAGCATCGTTTCCCTAAAGGTTTTAATTTAAAATTACAGAAATTTATAAACAACAATTTGTAGCTCATTGTTAATATGATTAGCAGGTTAAATTACAAAATAGTTCCCTTCTTATTCTTTAGAAACCAAAAAAAAAAAAAAAAA